TATATATATATATATGTGTGTGTGTGTGTGTGTAAATATATTATTGATAAATATACTTTTTCTAACCATTTAAAATTTAAACATTTTTCATGAACAGATAATAAAAATGTTATGTATTATCAAAGAAAGGAATTGAGTATTTTAAATGTACTATTGCATGTTGTAATATTGAGATGTTAATAATATTTAACTACCTGTATTTTATAATTCAAATGTTTAATATATATTAGTAAAAAATTAGAATTAATAACATATTTAACAAAAGAAATCACAACAGCAGAGTGGCGCAGTGGAAGCGTGCTGGGCCCATAACCCAGAGGTCCGTGGATCGAAACCACGCTCTGCTAATGATTTTTTTTTACACTTTATTTTTTTTCGTAGTACTTTCACAAATAAATTTTCATGAGTTTAATTGGTGAATTAAATTTCATATATAAATATATTTTTAATTTCTTACTTTAAAAAATCCAGTCTGTTATAATAAAGTAAAATTATTTTATTTTATTATTAAAAATTAAATAACTCATTTATTTTCAAATTTTATATTACATCATATACTTTTCTTTGTTATTTAAAGGAACGTAATTCAACTTACAATTAGATGAAAAAATAAAAACAAAATTTTTTTAAATTATCGACCTATTAATTTGGCATTTATCATATGTACGAATTTATAGTATGTATTATTGACAATCGATAAAACAGTTTTCTATAAAACACATTTACAATTATTAACATCAGTTGATAATTTGATATTAAAAAGTGATAATATTTTTATTCTTGAATATTCAAAATCAATATAAAGGAACAATTATATGAAGAATAACATTATAATTTATTAAATTTAATTATTTTACAAATATTGTTAAAAATATATTATATACCATTGTCCTTAAAAGTTTGTATTATCCTAAGAAAAAGATAAAAAAATACAATATTTCGAATTCAATGACCCCTTCTAAAAGAGAGGGGGATTAAGTTGGACTATTTGTAAATGAAATGTATTTGAAATATTACAATTTTCTTTCTTCATTTCGTGCTATAATGCTAAGAAACTTAATATCCTACATAAATGTGCCGATAACCTATAGCAGTTTGTTCTTTATAACAGGGGTCATCATTGATACAGTTAAGCTATTTCTTTCTTTTTTTTTCTAACTATAGAATATACTTTAATATCATTAGAATTATTATACAATAATGGGAAATACCGAAAGCTTAAATAAACATTAAAGTTATAAGAATTCTATTTGTTTTATTCGATAAAACACTTTTGAAGAATAACAATATAATATTTATATTTCAAGAAAAAAATAAAAAAAATTGGAAGAAGGTTGTAACGATTAAACAAGAAAGAAAATTCTTCCAATATTTTCCACATGATATTTATTAATGTTCATACGTTAGAAAATGATATTAAATATGGATAAAGAGTAGGGATAAGGAACGAATGAAGGAACGAACGAGTTCAGAATCTAAAGAACAAAAGTCCTTCTAAAAGGAGACACAAAAAGAAACTGCAAAACATCGTCGACCAATAGAAAGAGCAAAAGAGAAAGAGAAAAAGAAAGAGAAAGAGATGCGAGTGCTAATCAACATCGGTCGAACGCTACTAAGCCTCCCCGTTTTAGTTCAGAAGGGTTAACAAGAAGAGTTAAAACGAATATTCGTGCTTTCATTGGAACCTCAGTACGTGAACGTTCGCCGACAACGTTAGTTCGTTCGTTCATTCGTTCGTTCGTTTGTTGATTAGCTTCGTCAATATCTATATTGTTTAATCGCAAATAAATAACTTCGATGGCACTAATTAAAATCAAAGAATGAATAATATCATCTAAGTTGAAAATAAAAAGTGTAAACAAGAAGTGGAAAAATCATTGTCATTTACAATGTTTAAATCTCTTCTATACGTTATACTTATCCAACTACTGACAACAATTTATCCCTGTCAAAGTAACAACACCGCTAATAGGTAAATATCTATTCGAATTTTATTCAGTTATTTATTTTGTTTAAAAAGATTTCTTTTTTCTTTTTTTTAATCAAACGAAACACACGTGACTTAATCTCGCATTTGAATTATCGCAAATCTTTTAACGAGAATATATCTAGGAATTAGATAATACAAATTATTTTTAACATAAATTATTATAATTATAATAATAATAATTATTATTATAGGGGATATGTATTTACTGCACCGAAAATATTCTTAGCCGGGGAGATAGAAAGCGGATGTTTGTCTTTGCACAATTTAGAACCACCGGCAAAAATAATTCTCGAACTATTGTCCCCAACGTCCGCTTCAGAAGAAGAGATATTAGCGAGCACTGATACCATCATAACGTCTGGCAAGTACAATAATTTTTTAAGCATGTTTGGAAAAAAGTTAAAATGAAAAAAAAAAATTGTATCCTTGGTAATGACTCGACTTTTGATTTATCGTTATTTTCTATTAGAAAGAAATACACATATTTATAGTTTCCTTAAATACAAACATTTCATTCATAACAACGTACGCGTAAGTAAATATGTTTTTTATCTGTGAATCGATCAAAAATGTTTGAATGTTGACCTTTTCTTATGAGAGAGAGAGAGAGAGAGAAAGATTGAATTTGTATAATATAGAAATATTTCTACTTATCTGGAAATTATATTTAGACGGAAAGTTATCAATCACGCTTAAAATAACTGAAACCCATTTTTAATACGATTAATATTTGTATTCAATTTTGTTCTCCTGTTTCTTTTATATACATGTAAAAAAGCATATGCACACATAACCCATAGACACGTACATATACATAGACATGTCTTTTCTCCCCTCTTCAGTTACCTCTATCTTTCTATATGTCACGTAAGGCTCTTTAAACAAATTGTAAATTGAAATTGTCGTCGCTTCCTGCGAGGGAGCTGAATTGGCTAAGTCCCTTGTTGGAGGGGAAATAATCAATCTTTAAATCACATGGGAAACCCATCTGCATTGTTATTGCGCAAAATATATGAAGAATAACAGTATCGAACTTTTCAATGTTATCAAAGTTAATTCTAATGATCGATAATATAATATACAGATATAGATCTGATCTATAGTATGTAACTGGGAATGATATTTAATAGGAAAATATCTAAATTATCGTATCCTGCATTTACATCGTCTCTCGATTAATTTGTTCACTTTAGTCAAGTGATTATCTTCTTCGTATATATACATATATATGTGCATACATCTCGTGCAAACGTAATTGCAGAAATAGTAATTGAATTATCACGCTCGTTTAAGTCATCGGTCTTTATAACGAATATAAGCAATATCTAATATATTACTGATGGGGTTCTTTTAAACGTACGTCACAATATGTAAAGAGAATTGTCGTCATTTGAATAATTTAGAACACTTCTATTCCAAATCCGACAACATATAACTAAACGTATGATTGCCCGTTAATGATCAATTTATGAAATAGGCGTGGAAACATGTTTGGAGTTAATGGTACCATCAACCAAATACTCAACTGCTAGACTTAAATTGAGAATGAAATTTGACAAGCATCCTGATTATTCTGTTACTGCCGATAAAGAAGTTTACATTGAACACGATTCTATAATAACGTTCCTTGAAACTGATAAGCCTGTTTATAAACCAGGACAAGATGTGAACATTAGAATTTTAATGCTTAAACACGATTTAAAACCTTGGAAGAAAAGAGTAAGTGGAATGATAATCTGTCGATATTGTTTTTATTATTTATATTTACGAGATAGAGAGAGAAAAAAGTGTTATAACTGATATTTATACAGATTCCAAAAATATGGATCGAAAATCCGTCAGAGATAAGAGTAGCGCAATGGACAAACATGACTACGGAAAATGGGATGCTTCAATTGAAATTTTCTTTAACACCCGAAGCAAGTCCGGTAAGACGATATTTAATTACATTTCAAAAACGATCTGTATATTAATTTCAATATATATTTTTTTATTTTTGTTAAATTTAGGGTAAATGGACGATAAAAGTTGAAAAAAAGAAATCGCAACCACAATTATTTCATACGACGGTATTCGAAGTTAAGAAATACGTTTTGCCAAGATTCCAAGTAAAGATAAAATCACCAAGATATGTACTTGCTGATGCAGAAAACGTTACGTGGAATATTTGTGCAAAGTAATTTGAAAATTCTTCATAGAATTTCTTAGTACGAAAAATAGCATTTCATTTATCATTGTTGTATACCCAATACGATTGATGATTCATAAAACTCACTATTTCAAAGAGTTTTATTAATGTGATAATTGTTTATCTCTGAAAGCTACAAAAATTTAAACTACAATCAATTTTAAAAAGTGATTTTAAATCATAAATCACAATAAAGCATGTGCATTAAAAATGGATAACTCATTGCATAAATGATACTAAACAAATACTACTTTTAATCATATGATAATGTCCATAATAGGTACAGCTATGGGAAACCAGTAAAAGGTACCTTATTCTTGAAATTGACTCCACAAGTTCCAAGCTGGAGACGAAAGTTAAATTTACCTGAAATACATTATGAAACTGAAGTATATAAACTTATTTATTAATAAGACCAATCACAATCGTATTTCATGCACAATAAGAAATTTATTTGTTACAGCTCGAGTCACCGGATGGTTGTACCGAATTTGCACTTTCCAGTGGGGTTCTTGGATTGGCTAATTGGAAAGTAGCACCAAATAATATCGTTTTGATAGCAAACTTCACAGAAGCTGGTACCGGTATTTCAGAAAACACTATAAGTCGAACGGTAGTCGTACACCAAGTGCTTAAATTAGAATTTGCACCGTACTCGCCGAAATATTTCAAATTGGGTCTACCATATCACGGAAAGGTGATTACACTAAATTATTTTTGATATTTGATCGATTAAGATATATTTCGTTTAGTTTGCACAGTTATATAATTATCTTAAATTTAAAAGAAAAATATTACTCGTAACCCTTTTCTTTTAAATCACCCATTTATGATTAATCACTATATTAAGTATTTAATATTATAGTTACGTGTACTTCGTCAAGACAATACTCCTGCTGGATATGAAAAAATTCAGCTTTGTTTGAGAATCCGTGGAAAAGATGAATGGCTTCGATCAGCAGTGGAATGTCGTCATTTTATATCCATGCCAGACGGTTTTGTTGATTTTGTGGTTCCACCACCACAGAAGCATATCGTTTTAATGAGTTTCGTGGCAACCGCTGTTGATTATCCTACAAAATATTATTCCCCGGACAAACGTTGGAGGGTAAAAAATAATCAACTTTTTTTTTTACATGTTCATAAAACAAAGCAATTGAGTATTTATAACATAGTTTATGTATATAATATTAATCATAGATTTTTATGGATCAACCTTCAGCATACAATGATGTATTTCCTTGGTATTCACCATCCAATAGTTATTTGGCTGTTGCTGCAGGATATCAGCCAATCGTTTGCGGTGAAAAATATTCATTCAATGTTATGTACACGGTACCAGTTACTAATAACAATAATTATAATAACAATAATGAATCAATTTCATTCCATTATTCTATTAATTCAAAAGGAGATCTTCTAATATATGGTCATGTCAAACACAGACCAACAAACGAAACACTTGTAAAATATTCAGAATTCCGCAACTTATTAGGGCCTGTATCAACTATTAATAGAACTAGCCACAACACTATAGAACACCGGTGAGATTATTTACCATCACATATCTTTAATATAATATTTAAAAAAACAAAAATACAAAAAATTATTCATCTCTTATCAGGTTTCCTCTGAGCGTGAAAATTACGCCAAGTATGGCACCAGTTTCCGAATTACTTTTATATTACGTCAGACCAGATGGTGAAACTGTAGCCGCGAGTTATACCATAGAAGTTGGCCATTGTTTCGAAAATAAAGTTAAAACGGCATGGCACACAGATGCCCAAAGTCCTGGCACAATTACACAGTATCACATAGAAGCTGCCCCATGGTCTCTTTGTGGAATTTCTGCTGTCGATAAATCAACCATCTTTTTAGCTGGATCCAAATCAAATTTGATAGATCCCAATCAAACTTTCAATCAACTTAAAAGATTCCATCCCGATCCAGAAAATAGACCTATGTGGTACTGGGCTAATTGCAAAGGTATGTAAGGCTCCAGTTTATGTATTTGTTTATCTTAAATATGCTATGAAAGAATTGGAACTCTGAGTTTTTGATATTTTAGTTGTAAGAATATTGCACACAGAATGCTGGAATCACTTGGGTTATCGAATACCAATCCAATAAGAGTACATTTTTCCCTAACTAATGTTTGTATCATTAAAAATGAATTTTCATTATTTGCCGAAATAGTACAGACAGAACAAGGCACCACAGAAGTTGCTCATTTACCTTTTCCTGCAATTGAAGTACCATTTTGGAATTTGAGAAGAAGTAGAAGACATTCCATTGATACCGTTGCATCGGATGATGTTAGTTACGTAGATGCATCACAGGCCTTCAATGTAAATATTACATTTCAAATGATTATACATGTTTTCAAATTACTTTGATTATAATTCATTATTTTTCACAGGATTTCGGTGCAATAGTAATGAGCGATTTACACATAGAAACTAAACCTTGTCCAAAATTTTACTTCAATTTAAGACAACCGGAATTTCAATTATACGGTTTCAGTCGTTCTAATTTCGAAGAACCCGGTAATATGTCATATAATTTTATTTCATTTTGTATTTTGAAAAATATTAAGAGAAACATGTGTATACATTTGTATTATTTTATCTTGACAGGTTTAGTGATGAAAAATGAAATGAGAACAATGCCTATGGCTTATCCTTTGCTTAATTTCCCAGCTACAGGGACGGAAATAGGTGCAGATTTGGCATACGTTGATCAATCACCTGATCTCGTTACTACTCTTAGATCATATTTCCCAGAAACATGGTTATGGGAATTAGTGCCAACTGGGTATAATTTTAAACGAATTATTAAAATATTTCAAGAAATGATGATTTTATTACATCAAATCAATTATGTGAAAATTGAATTATTTTTTTAATAGAAAAGAAGGAAAATTAACTATAGAACGGACTCTTCCTCATACGATTACCGATTGGGTTGGACACACAGTTTGCATTTCACCAGTTCATGGACTTGGAATTGCATCACCGACTACTATTACCACTTTCCAACCCTTCTTTCTTGATTACAGTTTACCTTATAGCGTCAAACGCGGTGAAATGTTACATATGAAAGTTTCACTCTTCAATTATATGCAACATAGTTTACCAGTAAGTATATAACTTAATTAGAATTTTAAAAAAATATATATATATATTGAGTTTGATGATGATTGAAACGACATTTTTCTTCAGGTTAAAATTCAATTGGAAGATGCAACGGGATTAGATCTACATTTGTCTAATCCTATCGCATCGTTCTGTGTAAAACCAAGAGACAGTGTAGTTCACGAATATATTTTAAGACCTCGAGTTCTCGGAGATATTAATATCACCGTATCTGCTGCTATCGATGCTAATTATCCTGAATCATGCGGTCCAGACACTTTGGTATACACTCGGTATATTAAAAATACATTTTTCTAATAATTATTAAAACATAATTGTTATTTATTTTAATCAATGAAATTAATTAATGTATTTTTGTACATAATTTTTAAGTGATACCATCGTAAAGCCAATTCTTGTATTACCAGAAGGTTTTCCAATCGAAATCACAAAATCGGCGTTCATGTGTCCGAAAGATTTTAGTGACGATTCGAATATCATTTGGAATTTGGATTTACCCAAAGATTTGATACCTGACAGTGCGAAGGCTCATGTAACCTTGATAGGAGATATTTTAGGACCGGTATTAGAAAATTTAGACAAACTCGTTAAACTTCCAAAGGGATGTGGTGAACAAAATATGATTCTTTTCGTTCCAAATATTCACGTAATTAGTTACATGGATGTCAATAGTATGGACAATCCAGAACTTCGAAGTAGGGCTATTAAAAACATGGAAAAGGGTATTTTACTTATACATATTGAAAATAAGAAAACGTACTGCTGTTTGATTTAACATTACATGAAATTCATTATTATAGGATACCAACGTGAGCTAAATTATAGACACTTAGATGGTTCTTATTCGGCATTTGGTCCTAAATTTTCAGAAAGTGGAAGTTCAATATGGTTGACTGCTTTCATAGTTAAATCTTTTGCCCAAGCTCGCAATTTGATTTATATCGATGAACGTGATTTAAAGATATCTGTAAAATGGATCATGAGCAAACAATTAGAAAATGGATGTTTCCCTGTAATAGGAACTGTTTTTCACAAACAAATGAAGGTAAAAAAGAAGTGATATAATTATTTAAGTATATTTGTTAAATTATATTTACGTATGTATATATTTGATTATAGGGAGGTTTGCAAGAAGATGATAGTTCGGCAGCATTGACAGCTTACATTCTCATATCACTACTGGAATCTGGTGTTCTTTTGACAGCTTCACTCATTAATAATGCTCTCTATTGTCTAGAAGCTCTGACCGACGTTTACGACAGTCCTTACACAGCTGCTTTGTCAACGTATGCATTAGCATTACTAGAACATCCCAAAGCGAATGAAAGTATGGCGTCATTGATGAATCGTGCTACTCGTAACAATGTATGAAAATATTATACGAAAAATCATAAATTGGGATTGTCTATAAAATTCATTCTAATTGAAAAATAACATAAACGAAAAGAATTTTCCGATCAATCAAATATTATTATTATTATTATTCTATATTGTAGGATTTACTTTGGTGGGAAGACAAAACTAAACCGTCAGTGGGATTGAGTATCGAAATGACAGCTTATGCTGTACTTTCTCTCGTTAAATTAGGCGGAGAAAAAAATATGGTAGATGCTTTGAAAGCAGTTCGATGGATGTGCAAACAACGAAACGCTGAAGGAGGTTTTACGTCTACTCAGGATACTATTCTTGGCTTGGAAGCACTAACAAAATATGCTTCAGCTATGTTTACCAATTCTACAGATTTATCGGTTCTCGTTACAGCGAGTGATGTTAATAATGTTTACAGAATGAATAATGACAATCGAGTTGTTCTCATTCGTATTCAATTACCTACATTACCGACAATAATAGAAATATTTGCCGAAGGTGAAGGATGTGTTTTGGTGCAGGTAAATGATTTATAAACGATTTTAAAACGATCGATAAGAACAATCATTAATAAAATTTTGTTTGTACATTTTAGAACAATTTGGTATACAATGTACCTAAAGTGACAGGTTCTGAAGCATTTGATCTTTCGGTATCTGCTACTTCGGCTATTTTTGTGGACGAATGTTCGATGCAAAGAATTACGGTTTGTGCTCGATATAAAATGGCAGATGAAGAAAGCAATATGGCATTACTTGAAATAGGAATGATCAGCGGATACGTTCCAGATCGATCGAGCTTGCATTCGTTGTTAGAGGTTCCAAGTACAAGTAAATTAACACACTTCATTTTTTGTATTTTTCAAATTGAAAAATACTTATAAATATGGTCATGTGGAAATATTTATATTGCAGAGGTGAAACGTTTTGAGGATGACCACAATATTGTCACTATATATTTCGATAAATTAATTGGACAAAAAACATGTATATCATTTAATGTTATGAGGGAGAATATTGTCGACAAACTCGAGCCTGCGAATGTTAAACTGTACGATTATTATCAACAAGAATTAATGGTATCAAGTGTAAGTATTAATACTAAACGGAATTATATAATAATATAAAAATATTTTTGTTTCTTAATATAAAATTGAAATTATATAAACAATTTATTTGTAGAGTTATAATTTTGCACAAATGTGCAGTAGCGCTGATATAAACGAAGAAACTGAGATACCTGATCCAATGCCGGTTGCAACAGAGGCTACTATAGCATTTCTAGAACATAACAAACATACTAACGTGGAACACAATAAGACTTTGGAAAAATCATCGAAAAGTTTTGGAAAAGAAAGTGGAAATATGAAAAACAAGGTAACCAATCGTAATAAAATGGAATTGAAAAATTTATTATCGGTAAAGGCGGTAGATTCGAATGAAAAGGAACATGATACAGTAAACTTCAAAAAACATAATGAAAAGAATAAAACTGATGATGGGAAAATTGTCAAAGTTAAATCAAATACACTGATGATTGAAAATGTTGATGCAAAAACAACTAAAACAGATCCGATAATAAAAAATCAAAATTTAAGTAACAAATCCACCGACACTTCAATCAGTGAGTGAAATTAATAATAATCATAAAATTTTATGATATCATTGTGTTTTACAAATCAACAAATACAAAATTCGCATTGAATAATACGATTCTTATTTTATTTTGTCAGCTTCACAGGTGGATACCGGAAGTGGTCAAATACCAGATGATTCAGAAATGAACTCAACTCCTATCGTCGATGAAGGTTTTGACAATCCATCCTTTGTTTCCATTGATCATGAGTTAGACACACCGGAAGGAATCGAAGGTCCAGTGCTTGTTTATGTGAGACCAAGTATAACTAATCTTCAAGAAAATACATCGTTCGATGAAATCGATAATAAAACAAACGACAAGATTGATATTATCGAATCTACAACAGCTATACAAAAGGATCGAAAAATGGATGACCAATTAAATTCTTCAGGTACGTATTTGTTTTTACAAAAAAAGAATATTTTATCCTCTTAAATACCCCGCATAAAATCTATACAAAGAAAAATATTGAATAAATACAATAAAGTGTTCATAAAACTTTAGATTCAATCAATGCAAACCAATCTTGCCCTGTATGCAGCAAAGAATTACCTGATAATTTGAATGACATCTTTTGTTCGGCAAGTACCGCCATAAAAGTAGCAATTAGACGTCTAAGAAAAGTAAGATTATTATTGGATATTACTGCAAAAACTGATATTAAACGACTTCGTTCTACCATCGAACTTATCTTAAATCCAATGTGTTCTTGTCCACCATTGGATAATGGTAAGTAGATAAACGTAACAATTCCATTTTTTTATAATGCAATCAATTAATTAAAAAAATTCTAATTTATATATATATATATATTGACGATAAAATATATATTACAGCTGGAAATTTTGGATTATTGTTATCTTCTAACAGCAATGAATTTGTAACAGTAAATGACCAAGGAAAACTAATTTTAAATAATTCTATGTCTCTCTATGATTTACCGATCACCAATAATATACCTTCAATGTTAACACAAGCTAGATTGTCTTGCCCTAAAAAAGAGAAAAATGAACATGACTATGATAGACCAGTCGGTGATTGATATGCGTAAAGTACAGAAAAATATCGCACAATGTATAAATAACAATCGAAAATTGCGACCTATTTTCATTTCAATATTTCAGTCACAATCAGAGAGAAATTCATATTGAATTAATACACGAGATTATAAACTTCGTAGATAATGTACAAAACACATTTAATGATAAATTAGATATTAATTAACAAAAAACAATTTTTTAATCATACGAGTAAAAAATATGCACAGGGTATTATAAGTAGTATCGCATAATATGTATACGTTACTCTTAATTCCAACATTTTCTACTAAAAAAAAGACTAGTTCATTTTAAATTCATTCACTTATCACGTTGAATCTTATTTTTAATGATAATACAAAGAATTGGTAATTGTGTAATATTATACTGTATAATTTTCTACAAATCCTGTAAGTTGTAAATAAAAGAACAATAAATAAAAAACGAATAGTGTGTGTTCAAACTTTAACCTTTTGGTTTATAATAATCTGTAATTCTAAAAGGAAATTAATTATATATATAATAAATCCAATATTACATTCGAATTTTTAATTGCATGGCGGCAAATTTGAAAAACGTGCATACATATATTACACCGATCATTGATAAGGTCGAAATTTTTATTACCAATAAAATGTCACCTCGGTACAAATAATCAAATCTATCTTACTGACTGTCGATATAAACAAAATTTACTTTATCGATTAGATACTAAACAGGAATCATCAATTATTATTAATTATAATTTACACACAATTTTACATTTTAAAAATCAAATAGAAAGATGAATTTAATAATTAATTATAGGTACTTTAGAGCGACAAGAGAAATAATTAAATACCGTTTTAGTTTATTTATTGTTCTTGTAGGTTTACTATTGTAATAATTATTACAAATTAACAATCACCTTCGAATTTGTTACTACATCAAACAGTATTTTGTTACAATGGATGATGAACGGTTATTAACTACTAATTAATAGAACATTTGATATTATAGAGTATATTTGGCATTTAACGCTGTATAAGATGAATATATTTCGTTGTTGAACAAAAATATCGCGGAGAACGTTTGATCGTGTCTCTCTGAATATTACGTCACATATTTCTGAATTCATTTTTAAATGCCAGCATTAAAGACCACTATTATCGTGAAATCTCTGGAGTAGTATTACTATTTGCTCTTGCTGTATAATCATTTTACAATATATTATAATGCATTTATTAAATAAATAAATATATATATATAATATATATATATATATATATATTATTGCCCACTATCGACATCGACTAACATCGACGCTAATCGCTTGAGGAATGAAAGGAACGTGTCAATGTTCTAAATTGGCAGTAATATTTCACACGCGCATCCCCATAGGAAAAATCCACGGATATGAGCACAACTTTACAAGCAGTTTATATTTTATATGAGACGAAAATACAATATAAAAAAACTGTTTTATTAAAAATAAAAATAAACATAAAAATAAACATAAAAATAAAAATCTACAAAAATAAAAACAAAATCAAATACATTGTGGTTCTTTGTTTTTTTTTCTTTCTTTCTTTCTTTCTTTCTTTCTTTAGATATGCAGACATTATTTGCAATATTGAAAACATTTTCTATCTTTATTTCTTTTATATTACTTTTTGCAACGCGCGAATCAAAATAAAATACCCTTATAGTTTTCATATTAAAGTTAGAATGACTTATATCCAATTCATTGATAAATTCTACACAGATATATAACTATTCATTCTTTGAACATTATATATATTATAAAAAAAAGTATAGTTAATACTTATACCACTTTTACTTTTTTTACGTTACAAACGACAGTATTAACACGGCGAACAATACATTTTTTAGAATACTTACTCTACCTCCAAAATAAACAATAAATTCTAAAAAAAGATAACAAAAAGAAATTATTTGAAAATACATCTATCTTTCTAAACTCTCTGTGCGTTTTATAGAAAAATAAAATATTCTATTAAATTAAGTAATTAAATGATTTACTTAATATCAAAGAAACCAAGTGGAATCCCGATTATAAAAATTTATGATACGTGAAGAATGAATGTACGATGATAGATGAAATATGCAGGTGTAATATGCGGGAAAGTAAAAAATCATTATTCGTTAAACTAGTATGGTAAAAAGAAAAAAAGCGCAAGAAGCTTGACCGATTGTAAAATCGATCCTATCATAGCTATTAACTATATTATTTGTATATAGTCCAAGAAACGTTCTTATTAATATAACAGTACGATGTAATTCTAAAAATGGAACGATTTAAAGTAAACTTTTGTTTTTAACTGACCTATCAAAGATCTCATTTCTGTTCGTCATTAAACCCCCCCCCCCTTGATATTTTGAAGAAGCTGTATTTTTTGTTTGTGTTCATATTCATCTTTTAATAAATTTATTTTTTTGTAATTTATCCGCTTTACAATGCAGATAAATTCACGTCTATACTCATATATATCAGTATCATCAAACAAAAAAATGAGATATGTATTTAGATATTAAATTTTATAGTGAATAACGAAGAAACGAGGAAGACAAATTTTTTTTAGACAAAACGTTTTTATCGAGATCTCGGATTCAATTTATACAATGAATCATATAATCAACGAATAATCGAGATCCCACTGTAGTACGGCAAGATTTCGGCTTCATAAAAAATTCATATCATATAAATCTTCAAAAAGTTCATAATAATGAACTAAAAAGTTTCTATACAATTCCATTATACTTCAATTATTGCATGAGTTACAAAGATTGCAATTTTCTTATAGAAGCAATTTATCTTAATTACTATTTCAAATTAAATTAATGTGTATATATATATATAATTATTATTATTATTATTACGTATCGCTAAATATAAATACTTTCAAGGCAGATTCAACATAATGTTTATTCTTAACTTACAATAAACTCTGTCAAAAATTTGCTTCATCGTTACAAATATGTAACTCATGCAATAAATGAAAGTTTTGGTATTCATAACATAAATAATGCAAATATACTTTTAAAGGTATTGTCATAGTCTGACGTATATGCGACAATATAAAGATGTTTTTTGATGTTTTTATATATTGCCTTGTATAAACACTGTACGTAATAAAACAGCGGAGGAACTTACGCGAAAAACAGCATTCCTCGGCGTTCAACAGATCTTGGGAGCAGATCGATCGTTAATCGGACCGCTGGTTTTTCGTAAAGAAGTACCCCGTCGAATTTGATCCATAAGAGAATCTCTTACTTGAGTTGGATCTATAATGGGTACACGATTACCCATAATACGTCTGACATTAGCGGACCTACTCGTTATATTGTTCCCTTGAAGATTCTGTTGTTGTTGTGCTAATTTAGCATTCAACGTTTCGAGAAAACCAGATGATGTTTTAGAATTCTTGGTCATTTGTTGGTCTGTGGAATGTTTCCTTGCCGGTTTTGGACTGCTGCTACTAGTGTTATTACCACTTGTACTATTAATAAGTTTTGCATTGAGTGCAGCCATAAAACTCTGACCTACACCTCCAGGGCCTTGCCCTTGATTGCTTACTGCGGCAGTAGATATTTGTGTTTGAGTAAAATGCGTTCCGCGTTCCTTTGAAGTGGAACGAGAAGTAGTAGATGAACGTTCTACAGACGTACAAGCTGTCTGTAATATTGTACTATGTTGCATTACGTTAGAAGTATTAGTATGTCCTTGTACACCAGCCTTGCGTAAAAGTGAAGGACTAGCAGGTGTATGACGTAGTTCTGTCAAAGTCCGTACTGTTTCTGATACGGAAATAGATCTGTGATGTGAAACATAAGTTTCTCTAAACGTGTCAATTATAATATAACATAGTTGTAAGTAAAATGGAAAATACATACCGTTGAGGAGTAGGACTTGCTACGGGCGAAGAACCCTCTAATAGGAATGCTGGCGGTGGTGGAAGATTTTCAGTATCATCGCAAATATTTTCTATGCTTTCTTCGTTGGGATTAGTTACAAGACTACTAAAGGTAGCTGTAATAATAGTAGACGTACGTCTAGCCGGTGGGGGTGGCCTAGTAGCTTGCTGCATTGATCCTCTACGTGAAAGTAAAGTCGACGCAGCTCCAGGTACATTCCAAATATTTTCAGTCTGATTATGAATAGAATGGGAATGTGGTAAAGTAGTCTGACTTCCGTATCCACTACTTGACTCCACGCTTGATTCCGATGTTTGACTTCCTCCATCTTTTTCTGTACCTTCGACCTACATATATTTTACATAAAATAATATCATACATACCTTATTTGTAAACAATAGAAATTAAAATAAGATCTTTAACTCTTAAGAATATACCTTGTCATTTCCTGATGCTGGCATTGAAGAAGGGGGAGGCGGTAAAGGAAACTGCATTTCTTGTGCACGACTAGCAGCTAAGTTTGCCAATTCATGCATGTTTACATACATTGGTTGTTGATGTTGATGTGTGACTAATTCTGTATCACGGTATAAAATTTGATTCAACATAAATAGTTAAATATTATTATCAAATAAAATGATAGAAACCTTTTGCTAAATGAGCTGGAAGCGGTAATTTAGGTTTCCCCCGTGGACTACTAGGTGCTTCAGTTTTGACTACTGCTGATGGCCGTTCTAGGCTAGAACATCTATTAGGTATTGGTGGACGATTTCCATTATTTCGACGCAATTGTATTCTTGATAACTGTTGGTTTGAGGAAGAGCATGAAGAGGAAGAAGAAACTGGAGAAGCTGGCTGACTGTGACAACAATTATTTCCCTCTTGATCGGGTGCTTGGAATGTGTAAACACTAAGTGCTGGTCTCTGATGTCCTTTTTCATAAGCTAAAGTAATAGTTAATTAATATATAAATAATCATAAATTTATGTCGTATATATATAATCCACTATATGTGTATATATATAAATGATCATCAATTACCAGAAGAGATTGTATGAGGCCTTTCGTTAACAGTGTTTTGACTTTGTCTATCAAACGTAGTAGAAGTTTCCTGTAAATCAGGCCAAGTCGAAGTAGTTACAGGTCTTGTAACAGTACATCCACTTTCATTATATTGAGAACAGACATTTGATACCTATAAGAATGAATTAACTTTAAAGAAAATAAAAATACTAAATATATCATATATTGTAACAAACAAGCTTTTAAAAAAAATAAAAAGTGAACAATTCTAATAAGCAACTAGTTGTAAACAATTTTACCTGATGTTCAGAAATAGGTTGTGTATATAACGTATCTTGAGAAGTGAAGCCAGAATCACGGGAGCTGCCATTAGTTAAATGACGCAGCATTGCCATACTGCTGATGCTGGAAGGCCTGGCACCAACGGACTACAACGAGTATAACATCGACTACCACATACACTAAGCAGGTAGCCATCATGCCATAATCTACGAGCAACTACCTTAGTTGTGCTAAAGTAATGCACTAGCAGTGACACTAAATAATCATGCACTATATAATATAATATAAAAAGTCTAAAAATTCTTTCAAAGTAAGAAAAAAAAGAAGAGCTATAATTCAACACATAGACCTCAATCAATATCTATGTACCTGAGAAAGGGATCTGTGCCATGGATGTCCAGATGGACTTGGATGACTCTTACAAGATCCACTGCTACTGCTTGTTAAAGAACTGATTGAACACATAGAACTTTTTCTTGATCCTAAAGATAAAGAAGGGCTAGAAGGAGGAGTAGCTAATGACCATTGTGTAACATCGCAGCCTTTTATATCTGTTATCACTTGTTCAGATGCAGGTGGTAGATGATTCGGCAAGGCTGCGTGTCTTTGCAATTGATCGGAAACTTCTTGAAGATGTGTCAATTCCATTAACATTGCTATCTCTTCATCCTTTATTTTGTTCATAAATTTACACATATATCATTTCTAATACAAACAAATGATTGCAAACATCAAAATAATATACTAATTTTACTTACAAGTACTGGTTTTAAACATCCAGCTAGTATACAGAATCTACCACGTTCTTCGAGTAAAGCTGCGCGCACAGCTTTCCTTTCAGTCTCTTCCAAACTTAAACGCTTTTCCTGAATGACTGCAACAGAAGATTCTAACATTTTATTAAACTCAGCATCGCTCTGTGCAACTCCATGAATTTGTCCCTGTATCTGAGTATGCAAATGAGAAGTTTGAACCTTCCTGCCCTTTTTCTTTTGTAATCGCAATGTATCAGTCGATCTTTTCTTTAATTCAGCTCTTGCTTTTTTATATTCTGAAAAATGTCTTCTATGAGTATACGTATACAAACAGTTCTATGTTCTATTATTTGATTTTATTTAGAATCAATTACCTTTGGCATGTTCCTTATCTAAATTAATCAAAGATCTTTTCCAGTCTTCTATTTTTTCTTGAAGTGGCATCACCAAGCAATCCATGATAGCACTAATTATTAATAAATATATATAAAAAAAAGAGTAAATGAATAATATAAGTTACAATATGATTACATATTAATATTACCTTGTAAATGATTTCATACGATTTTCAACTGCTTTATGCCTTAAACATATTCTTGTCAAAGCAGTTCCAATCTCTTTCGTTGCACCTTAATTATAAACAAAAAGAAAACATAGGAAAAGAAGTGACATGCTTTTATATTCATTCAATATTGACAATAATAAACGTTTCAATGAACTCTTACCTCTAGCATTAGTCGCTACATCTGCAATTTTTTGAAAAGCTTCTAAATATGCTGATAATGCCAAAATGGCAGCTCTAGAAAATTAAATATTAACTTATTCTAAATTTAGATTATCTCAAACTGATACTCTCTCTCTAATCTTATTAATTAATTTGAATTAATAATAAATCAGAAGTATGAAAATTTGATGGCAATGTAATCGTTACCTTAGGGATGAATGCAGTTTTGTAGCTTTTGAGATCAAGTCTTCCCAAAGTGGGGTTCCATTCTGCAAGAAATTATTTTTAAGGGATAATTTAAAAAAAAAAAGATATCAAAAAGAAAAACAACACGTAAAATAAGTACGTAACTTTAATGAATTCATCCCCGAAAAAATAAAATTCGAACGAGTAAGATTAGAAAAGATATTGATATAGATTAAGAAAAATAATTTAATAATATATATGACAAACAAATAGGGACTGTATAATATTTATAAAGAGATTAAAATAAAGACGTAATAGACGATAAGTAGGCGGGAAAGGAAATATAAAAAGAATAACAACAACAAAGTATTTTGAAAAGAAAAACAATATGAATAATTGACATAAACAATTGTTCTCTTACCTTCATATCAGTAATTATCTGTTGAAAGAGACGGCCTAATGCGCTGCACTCTCTCTCGATCGTCGCATCCATCTTTTGAAAGAGAACTTCAAATATATACACAACTACCGTCTGCGGTACGCGACGTACATATACCGTTTTATTATCCGATTCCTTTCGACAATTTACTTCTTGTCATCCACATTAGTATCCAATAAATGTTTACTTTTCAAATTCATTTCTACGATATCGTTCATTTTGATTTATTGACCAAGAAAGTTGTCAAGATGTTTTCGTTCCTTCCTAATTTTGTTATTATTATTATTATTATTTTTATTTTTCGTAGATTTAAATTAACAAGGGATACCCTTTCCTCACACACTTGTACCTTATTCGGCCGTCCCGAACGTTTTGCCACGAACGCTTTGACATCAATCCTTCCACAACAGAAATGAACCAGCTTCCACTACGAAATACTTCATCTTACCACTCCTATTATCTTTTTTCTTGTTTTCTTTTTTTTTCTACTTTAGAGCTTCGTTATAATTATTATTATTATTATTATTATTATTAGAATTAGAATTATTATTATTATAATTATTATTATTATTGTTATTATTATTACAAAGAAAGAATAAAACCTTCTCCGATCTTTTTCTTCCCCTCAATTATTTTACTATAAACACTATATCTACGAGAGAGAGAGAGAGAAAGAGCTACTCGGAGTCAACGCGACAGAAGTATGTCGATTCAATGGATCAAGTATGGCTCGCGTCTGCGTACGATACTGTTTTCATTCTCATTTCTTCGCTCATGTCCGTCGATACAACAGTATGCATAATAATATGCAAGATATTTATTAGCAAATCAATCAATCCCTTTTCGAATTTTAATTCATTTTATATAACCGCCAAATTTAAATCTTCCTTTTTATTTTTTATTTCAATTATACTTAAATGTGTGAAATATAATATTTATCTTTTTTGTTTTTTCTTTTTTTAAAACGCATTTATTGTCGTATCTTTAAATCTCATTATTCTTATAATGAGATTATTACGCCTTGTATTACTTTCATTTAATTTACATGCAGGATGTTTCAAAATCTATGGGAATAACTTCAGGAATGGTTTCGGTATGCTAAAATAAGAAAAATAAATTTATATACACTTATTATGAATTATAGCTGTTTGTATGTAATTTTTTATCATATTTTGTTATATCTGTTATAAAATTCGTTTTATATCATGCTATCATTTTTGTTCTTCTTTTTTACTTTTAATCCATTCCCTTTTGAATTTATTCTCTAAGTCAAGTGCTTACCGAACACACACACGTACATATATATGTATATATTTGAAAATATTCTTTTAAAGAAGTTTATATTTTCTTCTTAGTTTGACTAAAAAATGTATATTTCAACATGATTTTTATACAAAATTAAATATAATTATATTACATTTATGTAATAATTGTACCAAGTGTACTTGTTATTGCATTAAATAGAAAACCGAAGTATGCATTGAAAGTTGAACTAATAATTTTTGTCAAACAAGTGTTAGTATATGTGAATTATTTTTTACAATATTACATAAACACAAATAAGTGCTTATATGCACAGGTATATCTGAATAATTAAAATCTTGATTAGTTTCTTTTTTTTAATTTATCCTTTAACATAGATCAAGAAATTGCAACTATTGTTTATATGTACAATAAAATGTAGTCTGAAAAAAACATACATAGAAATATTGTACAATTAGTGTTAATATGTGAATGGTAAAATATATAAAAAAGTTATTGTCATTACCATCATTTCCATTTCTATATACATATTGATACGCATAAAATGGTGATGTGATTACAGACGGTATTATATAAAGTACAAATAAAAAAATGATTAACGATACTGAGGACAATGTTGTTTTATTATAGATTTCGAAACATCCGTGTGACCTATAATTAGAAAGAAAATATATTATATAAAATCTATTAATAAATTTATTGTTAAAATTATTAAATAAATCTTACCAAGTTGTAATTCTATATACAATGCTAACATTATTACATGTATAGGTACATCACAGTCTATACCTTTTGACAACCAAACCTATAATGATCAAAATCAATTTACTGAGATTAAGATAAGAATTTTTATCATAAACTAATCCAATAAAATATAAATTATTGTATTCACCTGTTTTAATGTTTCACCAGATTTATCGAGTTCACCACGTATAGCATAAGCAACTGCTAAATTATAACGAAAAATTGCAACGCCTGTAGCAACAGTTGTTGGATACCATGCTGTAATATAATAATATAATAATATAATTTATTACATAAAATATGATATCAAATAATATGCATTATTTTATAAATCATAAACATATCTTACAAAGTGTGGATAAAAATATTTATCAAAAGTTTACCTTTCACAGGTTTCAATACTACTTCTTCAATTTTGTCTTTATCCTTATCCTGAATTTCGGGTATAGAAACGAAAGTATTTAAATCTTGTATAGTTTCTGGGTTCAAGTATTCAATTGCTTCATTAATTTTATCCATAAAAATCAAACTTTCAGCGGCATACAAATTACCAAGCATTTTATATGCTCCAGGCACTTTATTCAGACTTAATAGTGCTTTGGCATGTTCTAATGCAACAACGTAATCTCCAAGACATAAAGATACATATGCGCTGGCAGCTAAGACATTGATCTTTAAATTCAACGCTTCTATCCTCATTGCTTGAGAAATCAAAGTGGAATTCTGACTATCTACATATGGATAAATTAGTTATATGTCTGCTGATTTGATTATTGATATTAAAGTATATAAATAAATACTAAAAATACTCATACTTAGATTATGTCCAGGTGTTAGTGCTAATGAAACTGTTTGAGGATTTGGAATTGTTGTCATAGATAAATTCAATTCACTAACATTAGGTAATAAAAATGAAGCATTCTTCAAACATAATAGTGCAAATTCTAAAGTAGTTTGTGGCATGGCGTAAGACAAACCATCTGTGTGATATTTTGTATCTTTTGAAAGTGATGATGTTAATATAATTTTTCTATGTATTCCAGAACCTATAACTTTTTGAACCAAATCTCTACGCCGTTTAGGTATATTAAAATCACTCTCATTTGTCTGAAAAGAAAAATAAACTTTTACTTTAATTTTCATTCAAATGTATATGCTTATAAAAAATTACTTGCCGATTACACGTACTGGTTTATGACAATAAATACAACATTCAGCCATCCTTAACCAAAGTTTAGGACTATTATGTAATCTTTGGGCAGCTTCTGTAAAACAGTCAAAAGCTTTTGATGCATGACCAGCATATAAATATGATGTACCCAGACTGTACATTAATTCATAATGTTTATTTCCACCAAGTGTGTACAATGGTTGCGAAGATAAAGGATCTTAAACAAATACTTTGTTATTTGAGTTTCTTGAAAAAATATTATCTGATGTTAATTGTTATAATTACCAGTATCTTTTACTTGCACACTTTCTACAGCAGTTTTATTTTCGTATAAAGCTTGTCGTAAATAAAAACATGCTAAATTTGGTTTACCCATGGCTAGATGTATACACGCCATGTTATTATAATATAAGACTGCAGAAAATTTTCCACAAGATCTAGAAAAAAAATAAAATAATAATGTTAATAAAAAATATCAATATAAGAATATTAAGATATGAAATAAATTTTCAAATTACTAACTTGAAATCCGAAGTTTCTGAAGCGAGGGAGTTTAACAATTTTATAGCCTTTTTATGATTTCCTTTTAAATATTCCAAATTTGCTTTCAAGCATAGCGTTGATATATTCTTGAAAAATATTAAATTAATATTTTATATATAATAAAATAATATATATACATTAATATAATTATAGGTATTTTGATATATGTGTAATCTTACTACTGGAGTTCCTAAAGAAACTAATGTTTTCCATTCCCGTTTACATAATTTTAATTGATGTGTTAAAAGGTATATTCTAGCTTTATATTTTAATAGCTTTATTTTAAATAGATCTGTAACTATATCATTACTATCTTTCTTCTGTTCCTTCTGTTCTTTTACAACTTTCATTACGCCTTCTTTATCTACCGATGCAATCTTAGAATTATCCGTTGAAATAAATTGACTTTCAATATAATTTATCAGTAATAGTGCTGCATCAGGTTGCTCCGTTATTATATGCAATTCAATTAGAAGCGAACAAACTTTGTGTGCTAAACTTTCTTCTATAACATTAATAGAAATTTAGTATTTGTTCATTATTGCAAATAGATTAACATAATATTTGAGATAACTTTGTTATACACACCCAATGGTTCGATATAAGCAAACAATCTATTCATAATTTGTAACGCTGCAGTATACTGCCCAGTATGATATAACAAAACTGCTTGATTATATCTCATGACACATTTTTCAACATCATCTATAGCATCACCCAAATCTGTAGTAGACATTTGTCCACATATTGCATTCAAACTTTTTCTCATTAATTCTGTTTTTTTCAAATCACTTTTATAGTACTCTACCACAACCTTATTATGCATTACTTTAAGATCCTTTGGCCTGAGAGTTTCCAATTTATTTAAATAATTTAAACAAGATGTATATGAACCTTTTTGAAATTCGAATAATGCATTTTGAGCTAATTCACGTTCCTGTTCTGTTATTACTGCTTGTCCAATATCTTTACTTTGTACTTCAGATATTTCAGCCATTGTAATATAATGAAAAATACAAAAATTTTACTGAAACAAAAAAATCATTTGAAGAAACGTCAATTATTGTAAAACTCTTATTTTCTACAATAATTCAATGTACATTCTTCAACTAACATTTAATTCTGCTAAATAGGTTAACTGTGTGTTTCGTTTCACTACATAATATCTATCTGGCCTTCATCATTGATAATTCCAGGTGTAAGCAGTGACGTATAACTTGGGTTACTAAAGGGGTCAAATGTGTATCTTTATATTATTTATACAAAATATTACATTAATATAATTATATACAAGGAATATCATGTATTATTTTAATATTATTAAGAATTTATAAATTTATTAAAAACTATAATAAAAAAACATATTTTAAGATCCAATTATATATATATATATAAATTACAATTTACTTGAAAGCAATTAAAAAATTGGTTTTAAAATAAATTTGTACAAAAAAATGAATTTTAACTTAGAATGTAACAATTAAAATTTTAATAGTTATAAAAATATATTTACAGAATATAACCATAATAATATAATGATAATATTTAGTTAAGATTAATATTCGCTATAATAAACAAGTTTTCCAATTTAAAGATAATATAAATAAAAATATAATATAATAACTAATAAGTATATTATATACATGTATATTTATATATATATGTATATAATGCGTGTTAGCCTACGGACTTTTCAGCCCAACTGTTATATATATATATAATAAAATTATACATATTTATTTTTATTCGTATATCAGAACATTCACAAGTACTATTAAATATAATTTTAAAAAATTAAATGATAATTAATATAATTAAATTTTAATATTTTTTCAATCATTTTAAAATCATTTTTCTATTTGTTTTTTATTTATACATAAATGAATATACTTAAATATTTATACCTTTTATTGATAAAAGAAAAGGTGTATATTTAATTTTTAATTGCTATGAACAATTTTACAAGAGGGTTAAGAATTAGTTTCTTAAGTTCCTTCTATTGAGAAGTAATATGATATTTTCAAACAATCTGTTTATAAAGTTATTCTTATGTAACAAAATATCATATCTTTTATCATCATTATATTTCACAATAATGGTTTACGTTTTTAAATGCGATTCTAACGAATAAAATTTCCAATCCTTCCGTCATGATGTGAACTTGTAAATCAGTACTCCTGCAATAGTAACAGCAGCTCCACAAATTAGACTCCAAGCAAGTTTATTTGAATCGCGGTTTTTATTCTTTTGATTTTTCGTGCCTGTACTATTCATTTTCTGTGTTCCGAGCATTTTACGATAAAGATTTTTTTCATGTTGCGCATCTTTTACATTTTTTTTCTTTAAAATTGCTAACTCTTGTCGAATAGCTTTCGATTCTGGATCTAACTTAGCGGCTTGGAGGAAAGTAGCGTATGCTAAAGAATGTTCTCCTTTAAGATGATAAATTCTTCCTATAAATATAAAATATATATTTATTTATTATATTTGAGAAAGATCATTTAAATTCTAACATCTGAAATTTAATGAAATGTATATTTATACTGCATTTATAAAGTTACGATTAATATTACCTTTTCTAAACAATGCTTTTATATTCTGTGGCTGACATGTTAGAACATTCTCTACATTTTTTAATGCAGCATCATACGCTTCAGTTTTTATTTGTGCTGCAGTTAAGTTATTATATACTGCCATACGATTTTCCAATAAATCCTGCAATTCTGTGTCAGTAGCAGATTCTTCGATTTCATCGGTAGCGGCATTGTTGGAAGGAACCAAAAAATCTAGAGCTCTTCTGTAGCATTGAATTGCAATTGTGTGTTCATTTCGCGCGAACCACCAGTTACCGCGTAATCGTTTTTTATTTCTGTATCGTAAAAATAATGTATATATTAAAAATTATTACATCAACAAAGATTTACCATAAAATCAAATCGTAATCATAATAATTACCCAATTTCTTTTCTCTTACTAATGCTAAGAGTATCTAAATCTGTTTCTAAATGAAACGATTTTAATTCAACCGTATACCAAATAGTAGCATTAGGTGGAATGTCAGGTTCAACTCCTAAAGTACCATAAGCAAACCGTGAAGCAACTTCCACTACTGCAATTTCACCTACGTTCATTAGTGCAATTGCTAAATCTAATCCCTACGTATATAAGAAAAAAAACCACATTACATAATTTAAAGATTTAACAAAAAATATTTAATGGAAAATTTATTTCATTACAAAAGAGTAGGGCACATTACCTGAACAACTTCAACATCACCTAATTGAATAGTAATATTTTCATGTTCTTCTACTATCTTTCCAGATTCTAATTTACCAATAATTTTCAGCGTACAATAATCTGTTGTATTAGGTCGTGTTCCACTCTGACCTTCTTTTATAACTTTTTTTCTTAATTGTCCATTACCAAGAATATCAATCCATTCATCTACAGGATGATCAGCTAAAGCTGCTTTAGTTGACGGATCTTTAGGATCGATATCAAAATTTAAATCTTCGCGAATGAAATCAGCCTGAGTTTTTCCTGTTTCTATTTCCATGTTTTCCATTTCTACAAAATAAAATTATTAAATTCTTATTATTATTGTTGCATAACAATAATTCAAGAATATTCAAACATAATCTTTTGACATTAGATGAGTCATGCAAATTTAGAGGTTATAATAAAAATAAAACATTTTATTTATGAATAGTTAAGAATACAATACTCATGATAATAATAATTAAATAATATAATATTAATGATGTGTAATTAAAGAAAATGCTAACTCATCTAACCTTTAATAGAACATAAAAAATTGATATGCATAATAATTGCTTAAAATTAAAAGAATAAAATAATACAATTATTATTTATACCTTAATATTTTAGATGATATGAAATTAATAAAAGTTTCCTAAAGCATTAGTTTATTTTTCACATTTGAACATAATATAATATGTGGACTACCGGCAGAATATACTTATATTATGAACTAAGCAACGTAATGATGAAATCGATAATCGAATTTTCATCGAGAGTTTTCTTCTTTTTAATTACATACATAAGTTTTTGTCAGATATTGACAAGGAGATAAGAAAATAAATTCAAATAATTAATTGCGATGTTAAAAATAGAACCTAATTATCATTTTAAAGATAAGCGAAAAAAATACACTCATGACGATAGTTATTATTTTTTATAAAACTCGTTGTACCATATGGTGATCTGTGCGTATGTTTATATCAAAGGTTTTTAAACATTTAATTTATACAACTAATATTATCTCCAAGTAATTATTATTTCTTACTATAATCAGTATTAAAGTCTATAGAATATAGTAAAATAATTTTAATTGCAATTGGAATTATTCGACAAATTGTCAGGGGTGTCTATATGGTAGTATACAGTAGTGTATGACAAAATCTTTTACAGACCAATGATAGGTACCCACATTACTTGCACGTGCGCGTGCGCAGTGGTGCGCATTTCAAGTCTTGATGGTTCATTCAACTTCACCTTTGACTACATACAATTTAGTCATCGATGAACGACAGTTGTTCGTCGAACGTCTTTGTTCTATAAATCGCTATTATAGACGACAGATAATACAAATAGCAATGAGAATAATTCTACTTCTTAGCCTTGTGGCTATAATCTTTTGTTTGGCCGCTCATGCTGACGATAAGGCAGTTAAAGGACCAAAAGTAACTGATAAGGTAAATATGAATTCTCATGATAAAAATCATGATCCTTTGAATGACAGTTACACGATAAGAATTTTTTTATACATTCTATTATTATTCTAACATATTTAGGTGTGGTTTGACATCCAAATTGGTGGTAAAGATGTTGGAAGGGTTGAAATTGGTCTCTTTGGAAATACAGTACCTAAAACAGTACAGAATTTTGTTGAACTTTCTAAGAAACCTGCTGGAGAAGGATACAAAGGAAGCAAATTCCATAGAGTTATTAAAGATTTTATGATTCAAGGAGGTGATTTTACTAAAGGAGATGGAACTGGAGGTTAAATATATTTTCTTTTATATATTTAAAAAAAAAAAATGTTTTGTCATCGTTTAATAATATTTTAATAAATTATTTCATTATCTTTTATAGGACATAGTATTTATGGTGCTAGATTTGCTGATGAGAATTTCAAGTTGAAACATTATGGCGCTGGATGGTTATCTATGGCAAATGCTGGTAAAGATACCAATGGTTCCCAATTTTTCATTACTACTGTACAAACTCCATGGTTAGATGGCAGACACGTTGTTTTTGGAAAAGTAATTAAAGGAATGGTATGTGCCGATTTAAAAATTCTAATATTGTTAATATATTAATTATATTTATTTTAATGTATTTTGTTATATTTTTCTAGGATATTATTAAAAAAATAGAAGCTGTATCTACCGATAGTCGAGACAAACCAACAGAGGATGTTGTTATTAGCAACAGTGGAGCAGAAACAGTACCAGAACCATTTGGGGTATCTAGAGATGATGCTACTCAATAAAAATCAATTTATGTAAAAAATATGTGCATGGCGGTTATGTTACTAACAATGCAATTTTGATCACTGTATTATATTCCAATAATATGTAATTTCATATATAAATATTACTTCTTGTAATAAAAAAAAAAATAACTTTTATAAATATCTGTATATGTTCATAAGGATACATATTTCATTTGTATAACTAATAAAAATGAACATAATTTGTTTAAACGATTGTTTGGATATTTTTTTCATTCATATAAATGAATGCACATGATAATTTAATTTTAGTCAATTAGTATTATTTAACCATTAAATTGTTAGTGATTTATATTGTACATGACATTTTCTAACAACTGCCCTTTTGTATTCCAATTCTAAAGAATGATGTCGAAAGAGGACTTTGCTATAGTATAAGAAAGTTCATGATATTCTCACGTACATACATTTCATATTGCATCGAAAGATATCTAACTCTCGGATTGAATTATGAAATCAAATATTTATCACATGGTATACAAGTGTTAAAGAAAATTAATTAATATCAAACACTTGATAATAAACAAATTTTAAATGTAATATAACTGTTATCAGACGTCCGTCAAGTCTCCAATGAGACAACGGTATTTTGGCGTTTTGCTCGTCTGTCACATAAAAATGATAATCGACATATGTATATTGCATACAAATCGAAATTAGCTACAACCTAATGAGAATCGTATTAAAAAAACCAATAAGGGATAATATAATGAATTTGAAAAATGGTTACAAGATCCCGTACAATTTACTATCATATGTACCAATCTTCACATACATGACTGACGTATTAATAACCTTAAAAATGTGTTGTTGATGATTCCAAATATATCGTTTGTGGATTATTTTAAATAACGCAAAAAATGTTGAATATGTTAGAATTGATTCTTAAAAATAATCGAAACTTTGTATACATGTTTTATAATATGACAAAGTTAACGTAAATATTAATGAAATAATTATGAAATGATCTGAATTATAAACATTATATTTATCTAACCAAGAACATAGATATTAATGATAAAACATGACGTTTCTTAAATCTATTTTGTTCTATTTCTTAGTAGTTGTATTATTTTTATTTTTATTATTATTATATATCCTTGGTGGTGTACGGTACATCACAGATTTTGAGAATAATACTTGTGAAATGACTTATATGTTTGAATATCCTCAATATGTGGTAAGTATATTTATTTAAAAAATTATTATTATTATTATTATTATTATTATTAAAATTATTATTATTCTTTACTTTTTATCCTGATATAGAGGGTAGCCTTAGACGATAATATAGAAAACAACTATCCACGATATGGATTGTATGCATATGGAGAAGGTTTTGTTACAGAAAAACTTAGAAGAATGCATTTTACAGGAATACCTGTCCTTTTTATTCCTGGAAATGCAGGCTCTCATGAACAAGGTAACGTGTTAATATTTTTTAATTATAGTTTATACTAAGAGATAGTGAAATCAATTACCTATACTCTGCATATACAGTAAAACCTGTTTTTGTGCGGTTCTTTTGTATGCGATTTGTTTTGTGCGATCTTTTTTTTATGCAATTTTTTTCGTGTGATTTTTTTTTATGCGGTATATGAATCTCAGCGGTGTTGGCACCAGTTTAATGTTTCCTATCAGTGTACGTATACATGTATGGACAAACCCTTACTACGTGGACTCCTTGGCGATAATGGAACCTTATACAATCACTGGATCAGGGCATAATCGCAAATTTTAAGAAACATTATTTCAAATTAACTTTTAGCTACATTCTGAAAAAACTAGAGAACTATGAATTAGGCCTGACTGAAGTTTGGAAAAAATTTTCAATTTTAAACTGCATAAACTATATTACTGCAGCAATTGGTCAAATAAAACAACACACATTAAATTCGTGCTGGAAAGCGATCTGGCCTGAATGTGTAATTTATCGAAATGTAACCGAAAACGCGTCCATGTTATTACCTGAAATTACTGCGCTCGCACATAACATCAACGGATACAGCTTTGATACTTTCGGCGAAAATGATCTTGACGAAATGATTGTCAATGATAGTGACATTATCAATAATTTGATAGATTATGAAGTCGGACAAGAAGAACCGGAATTTATTACAGCCGATAAAATATATGCAGGAATCCAGATTTCTAAAAATTGGAAACGCATTTTCTTAAAATAGATACTTATTCTGAAAGAAGCTTGAAATTTCAAAAAGAGAGAATCATGCATGTCTTGCTATCGTGACGTGTACCAGCAACTGAACAATCGACCGACGTTACAAAAACTGATCACTAACTTTCTGGTGCCAAAATCAATTGAAATCGTATCTTCAAGTGACGAAAGCGATATTGAACTAATTCGTCATAAGAAAATGCGCGTTTTGGATTACGAGTAGCAGTGAATTATTTAATGTACATTTTGAAAATTTTTGCATATATTCAATGAAAAATTAAATATTTAAAAAATTTTTCAAGTCTAATTTACTTATTTAATTTGTTTGAAAGCATTTTCTGATTTATTTCATAAATAATTGATGTATTTTTTAAGTGCGACTTTTTTTATGCGGTCCCTATCCACCGCATAAAAAAAATTTTAGATAGTGTATCGTACAAAGATGTTAATTATATGTAAGTATTTATAAAATTTTCGAATATTTTTTTATACGATTTCTTTTATGCGGTTTCTATTCTCCGCAAAAAAACAGGTTTTACTGTATATACAGGGTGATCTGTAACTGGTAGTACAAGTAAAAAGGGGGTGATTCTACATGAAAAAATAAATTGAAAATAAAGAATAATAATTTTTGGTTTGAGGCTTTGTTCTCGAGAAAATCGACTTTGAATTTTCGCAAAGTACGACTTTTCGTTAGGCCGCGTCAGTCACGGGTGACTGACATTCAACTATTTTTTAATACAAATTAACGTCTGTGGCCTGGCGGGAATTTCCCTAAGAATTTGCGTAATGCTTAACGTGTTATTATATGATATTTTATTTCATAGACTTATCGCAGGATTTTGTTTAACAGAAATTGAATATTAAGAAAAATAACAAAATATAAGATTTATGGTCTATAAAGGATTTGATATCGAACACTAATCGATACTGATAGTATTTTGCGATAAAAGTCGGATAGTAAGATAATAGGTAGAAAAACACTTCCGTAATATTGGAAGTATTTATCAATATAATTTCAATCGAGACAATGATCTACAATGAAATCCGTTATAACGAGACATGATTAACACGTTAAGCGCCACGCGAATTCTTAGGGAAATTCCCGTCAGGCCACAGACGTTAATTTGTATTAAAAAATAGTTGAACGTCAGTCACCCATGACTGACGCGGCCTAACGGAAAGTCGTACTTTGCGAAAATTCAAAGTCGATTTTCTCGAAAACAAAACTTCAAACGAAAAATTGTTATTCTTTATTTTCGATTTATTTTTTCATGTAGAATCACCCCCTTTCCTCAAACGAAAAATTGTTATTCTTTATTTTCGATTTATTTTTTCATGTAGAATCACCCCCTTTCCGCTTGTACTACCAGTTACAGATCACCCTTTATATGTATATATGTATATTTTTGTTTGCATATGCAGTAAGGTCTATTGCTTCTGTCAGTTTGAGAAAAGCTCTGAAAGATCGAACACCTTTTCATTTTGATTTCTTTACCATATCGTTGGGTAAAGATTATTCTGGTTTGTATGGCGGTATGTATAATATCACATTGAAATAAAAATTCTAGTTAATAAGATATTTAAAAAGACGTTTAGTATAAAAATAATATTTTTATATGTAATATAAAAATCAATGAAAAATATTTTCTTTCCTTTTTTATAAAAGGTGTATTAATGGAAGAAACTATGTATGTTCATCATTGCATAAACAAAATTTTAAGTTTGTACAAAGGAAACATGGATAATGTTGTACTTATTGGTCACTCAATGGTAATTATAAATATATGTTTGTAATGTAAATTGAAAGAATATAATTATCTTCATTTTCAGGGAGGAATTATAGCCAAAGGAGCTATTTTATTAGTACCTAATGCAAATGTTAGTACTGTCAGTATTATAATCAATTTGGCAGTCCCTTCAACACCATCGATAGTGTTCGATAATACTTTCGCCAATTATTATTACGCTTTAGAGAAAAAAGCAAATGTTATTAAAGATGCTGGTATAACGGTAGTATCGATTGCCGGTGGCCCAAGAGATATAATCGTACCAGCAAATCAAGTTATAGATTCTACAGCTGATATAAATATTTTATCTACAAGTATACCAGATGTTTGGAAATCTACTGATCATCAATGTATTCTTTGGTGCAAACAATTAGTACTCTCTATTGTTAGATCTTTATTTGATAGCGTTAATTATACACAAAGACCACCTAGAATTTATAATGAACCTGCTCGTAAATTAGAAGCTTTATCTTATCACTTTTTACATGTAAGGAAACATTTTTATTTTTATTTTATGTGTATAAATTTAAAATATTTATAAAAAATTAAATATATTGATTTATTATATATATTTATAGCGAAGTTCAGGAAAAAGATTATACCATTATAAAGAAAAATTTAATTTTCATAACAAAGGTGAATGGATAGAAAATATCCAGAGACAATACACATGGGAGAATAAAGTTGACAATTCTAAAAAAGTTCCTACGTATTTAATGATTAGACTTATAGATCCGCGTGATCATTTGACAATTGAAACAATAAACTTGGAAACGAAAGATTGGCTCTTTGTTTGTTCTGCTTCAAGTTTGCAAGGCTACTCTAGAGTGTGGTTGGTATAAAAATTATATTATTTTAAAGTCCAAGCTACATTTATAATCATTTATTTTAAAAATATTTTATTATTTGCTTTTAGCGATTGGGGCTGGAATCTTACAAATAGAACAAGAATGGCTCCTGATTATTTATATAGACTCAGACGTGTTGTTGATTTAGATACTCAAGAAATTAAATATCCAGGTGTGACACATATTGTTATTAGAATACCTTCAGAAGATTTAAATAACAATGTTATAATTACCGTTGATGCATATTCTCATGAAAAGAGAATTTTACCTATTAAGAAGAGGAGTTGGACAATTAAAAATCTTGTTAGCTCTGATTCATCTGGTCTGATAGATTTTACACCTGGACAAACAAGATATTATTTAACTTTAAATAAAATAAATGTAGTAGATGTAGAACTTAAAAATATTGAATGTAAAGATATTAAAGGACCAGTTCACACCAGTATTGAATTATTGGAATCATGGAATTTTGGTATTAGCCAAACTATATTTTTCAGTGAAATGTAAGTGCATTCTTTTTTTATACAAGTATTTAATCAAATTATCTGTACATCAATCGTTTGTTTTACAGTGATGATGGACCTAAAACTTTAAAAGTACAGACACGTTCTAACTATGATACTAATGTTTCTGCAATCTTAAGAATGACTTTAGAACCAAAGTGTTCATATAAATTTAATATTAAGGAAGGTGCCATAATAGATCAAATTTCTTGTTTAATACGAGATCGCTGGTCTAGTCTTTACATAATTATCATAAGTTTACTCTTAGTGATAATATCATTGCGATTAGACAACGAAAAAAGTATATATCCGCCATTAACTGTTACAATTGCTTTATGCATCTACTTTGGTATTGTTTTCGAAAGTTTTGTGGCTTTAGCCATAATTTGTATATTTGCTATTGGTACATGCTGTTCTGTTATTTTCCTCGGTTCATTAGCACATGGCATAGCTGTAAGGTAAGATCATATATTTATTTGTAATATAAAATTCTTATTTTTTAATAATATTTGTTAAATATATTCTTGTATTTTTCTATAGGTTTTTAGCACGAGCAATAGCTTTTTCGATGACGTGGGCTGATTGGTTACTCGGTGGATTAAATCAATTGCCACTCTTTACAACAATTTGTGTCATATCTTTAGTTCCAGCAACGTGTGGAGCATTAGCTATGGTTATCTCAGTATTTTTGCACTTTTTAAAATTGACAAGAATGTATGAAGATTATTTAGAAGAACTATTAATGTCTTGTTTACGACATTTTAAATTTGGTAGATTTTTTAAGAGTAGAGCAAGAACAGAAACAAGTGAAAATAGTCAGCAAAAAATAATAGATTATTTAATTCTTTTTATTTTATGGAGTTTCACCGCTGTAGCTGCTATACCATCTGTTCTTGTATGGGCGAAAAATTTCAGGTTAGTAAACCTTATTATTAATATTTTAGTTATTTCATTGCTGCAATATTATAATAAAAAATAAAAACATGATTTACAGTTATAGTACGCAATTATTGACAGAAGATTTCATACTGCTCACTAGCTGGAAAGTTTTAACTATATGTATTATTCTTGAACTCGTACAAATATCTTTCAAATCTTCCAATTCATGGATATTAAGCAATATGTTGTGTTTTCTAAGTTGGATTATGCTTTCTACGACAGCGACTGCTCGTCCATCCTTTTTTCAATGTTTTATACCACCCTCCGTGGCATTAATTGCAGTTATTCTTTCTCTTTATCGTAATATTACTAACAGATTATACTCATAATATAATTAAATAATTAAATAAACTATTTACGCAAATTTTATCAAAGGAAACAAAATAAACTGTATTGTATCATAAAATACATGACTTATTATTTGTGAAAAAAATAAAGATATACATATTCAATAATCAAACTTATGTTATCTATGGGTGCATATAATAGTTAACAGGTTGATTCTAATGTACAAAGATTTTAAAACTAAGTGGGGCATATACATAATAAATAATTCTACTAATAATATAAAGATTGTCAAAGAAATTATGTAAGTATTTTTCATCGACTTCTTATCAAAGTGTGTATACAATTTACAAACAATAAAAAGTCAGTTTAATTTAAAATTAAATTATTTAAAAATGTGTATTGGATGTTCTTCTATTAATTCATCTGACAGAAATGACAGAATATGTATGTATACTCGAATAAAACTTATCCCCCAAAATATAATAAATATGATAATATATTGACAGATATACTGACAATATACTTCATACGAATTAAATGTAAAAGATAAAGTAGTATATTATATCAACACATTAATAATACAACGCCCACTCGTTTTCTTGAAGGAAAGTATCCACCACTTCTTTCATAGCTAAATTTGGAATTAATTGGTCTTGTGTTAATCGAACACGTGTAACTGGATCAAAATGTCCCACCCTTTGTAAGTGTTCTTCAATATCTTTTCGTTCGTAAGTAATTCCACTAGGTGTAATTACAGGTTCTTGAAGTATCTCAAAACTAATTTTACCACACAGGTAATCTGGCACTTCTCTTTTCTATTAAAATTAATATTTATATTAATGAGGCTAAAACTAACACAAAGCAACCCTTACAAATAATCATAATAATAATAATAATAATATACGATAATAAAAACTGACCCTTCTTCTGTCATCAACTTTAGCAAATAAATCATTAAGACGAGCTGTACAAATATCTCGTTTTTCTTCAATTTCTGCTTTCCTCCTAGCTAAATCACTACTCGATGCATCCATTCCAGATTTATTGTCCCCATCTTTGATAATTTCTTGATTGCTTAATGCAGCTAATTTTCTTTCAGCATCCTCGGCTAATAATTGATTTAAATATGTCTGTAGTTCAATATCTTGTGCGATCCTCTGTTCTTCCCTCAATTGAAAACGGCGTTTGCGTGCTTGCCTCAAGACACTGGTAACGTCGTCCCCATAATTTAATTTCTGTTCCTTGGCCAAGTCCACCGCTATGCCATTGTCATTTAGCATAGTTAATCATTTTCAAAATAATATTAGTGCCATTCTAATAATAATTAACAATTTGATGACAGTAGCATCTAGTGTCTAGAAAAGTTGTGCAAGATAGCCAAATGATAGGAATCAAGCAACTTATAGTATTTTACCTCGAAATTCAATGGACATATTCCTACCATTTACAGATGAATTATGCGAAGTCACAATGCTCCATGCAACCGTGTCAAATTCGGAATAATATTAGTTATAAGAATGGAAGAAAGTATAATACGTGATATACACACAATTTTTAAGATTTTCTCATATTTAATCAAATATTTTGATACCATTAAAAGCTACATTTATTCTTGCGAAAAGAAAAGAGAAAGAAAAAGTATAATAAATGTCACCTCATATTATAGACCTTCTATCGACATAATTAATTATTCTAGCACATGATACAAATAGAAAGAAGCAAATATCGAAGCTTAAAATATATTCATATTTTTGAAAAAAGCTCTCTATCATATTTTGTAAGTAAAATATAAATTCTATTTAATATTATTTCATAAAAACATACCTCTTTGCAAATGTTTGACAGCTTCATCATAAAGTTCTAGTTCAAGTAAAGCTAAACCCAAGAAAAAGTGTCCTTTTACAGAACAAGGATCTATATCCAAAGCTCTCCTACAATCTTGACAGGATGACTCCCAACGCTTCAGTTTGAGATTGCATAATGCTCGGTTTGTGAAGTATAACGCTTGAGTTGGATTCTTTATCTGAAGGAATACAAATGCAGAGTCGTAACTAATCTGCATAGATTTGAGGTATCACTCACAATTGCTTTTGTATAACAGTTTGCAGCATCCTCATATTTATGTAGACTGAACAGACGATTGCCTTGCTCCTTTAATTCCTTGTCTGATAAGTTAGCAGTTGAATACATCTTGCTCATGGTGATGATTTATTAAGTGTCGCAATGGACACAATGTTGAGAACGTATTTTAAATTCTACAAATGTGAACACAAAAATACAAATAAATACTATAAAGAAAAACAAAGAGAAAGAGAGAGAGAGAGAGAGAATGAGAAAAAAACAATAAAATATCACAATATTATAACCTCAGTTTTACATACGTTTTTTTGATTATCACTTTTATTTGTATTTAATTTGAAAAATGAATATCATTTCTCACTTATACCGTTTTATGTGTATACGACTTTTTTTACAACAATATTAAAAATACCAACGAAATATAACAGATTATTTATTAAATACGTATGTACTTTTGCCCAGAGTCCCTTTAGCTCCTATACAAAAGCTATCTACACTATTTAGTTCACTAGACAATATGACAGATGGTGCTACAAACGTCGGTACAATATATTTATTTACATGATCTGACGAGTAGTATTTTTACTAATATTACAGTTACAACTTACTAGTTACATATGTATGTGTATGATGGATCGAAATAATTATTCATTCAAGAGATTAAATTCAAAGTTTAAATGTTAATTCTTCAATAGCTAATGATAAATTGAATTGTCATTTGTTAAAGTTACACGAATCATCTGTTGTTTACATCACTAATCAGAGATTATTAAGTTATTCTTATCAAATTACTATTTATTCTCTAATAAGCTATATACAACAATCAAAAGTATGCATATACTATAAATGTTTTAAGTAAATGTTGAGTTAATTAATTTTTTTAAATTAATTAATTATGTTAATTGATTAAATTATGGATTAAAAAAGCTATGATGTTTTCTAGTTGAAATTCAACGATAAAATGACCATCAAGATCGTATGAATTTTCCAGGTATTGTTTATTTCACTAATTAACAATTTCTTTCTCTCTTTCCAAATTTGAAATTCTCTCTTATCGAAATTTTGCATTAAAATTAATTTCTATTCAATGTGCGTTAATAATTATGTAACATATAAATAAATGTATTTTGTTAATTTATTAATAAATTATTGTATATTATATGAGAATAAACATGTGTTTCATATTTCTTAAATAAATGTAAAATAAACTAAAGTATTGAATTAATTGAACATACCTGCATGGAACAAAAAATAGACGATGTTTACTCGCCCGTATCAAAAAGAAGACTAACTTATCCACTTGTCGTTCGTGAGCACGTAATTGTTTACATCATTGGCTTGAAACAACCCCAAGTTTATATTTAATACTTTTTACATTATATTCAACGTGCTTTAATAGTTGTGTAATGTTTAAACGAATGCACGATTTTTTTTTTTTTTTTTTAATCAGCAAATTATAAATACAAAATTGTAAACATTACATAGAATATAAAATAATTTTAATCATAAACTTACTTATTTATTTCTAGAGGATTCCAACATTTTTATATAAAACATTATTAAAGTTATGCTATAAATGTTAATAATAATTCGCAATAAAATAGCATAACGAGCTTAGAGAGAAAATATAGTGCATATTTTACGTCTCTCAACATAGTTTTATTTCTTTTTCAAAAATAAGAAAATGTATAACCTGTGCGAAGCTTGGACTTTTCCAAGAATTTACGTATGCATGTGTAGATGATATATACATGAGAAAATCACATGTCGAGATAGATATATATATATATATATATATATATATATATATATATATATATGTATACATATATATAGAGAGGGAGATATTATGAACGCTTGTAGGAGTGTCGCCAAGCTTGATTTTATATAGGTATTTATATTCTTGTGTTTTGAATGTTTGTGTGGATAACAAGCGAGACAGTTTTTTTTATCACCTATTTTGCCATTGAAAAGATATATTTTCCAAGAAATTATATAGGTTAACTTACCAATACTTTTTCTCAGAATTTATGTAGGTCAGTCAGCTGTATCCGGATTTTTTATACCTTTATCATTTTCCCGTGTATTTGTCGTTTATTTTCTTCTTTTTCTATTAATCAATTTAACAGTTTTGATATGTCTCGATTATTATCGATTTGAATTGAATCAAAGTGTACTGTGGGAATCTTTTAATCGTCTTATTGGTGGTCGACATGTTTGTTCAGTGAGTAGCACTTTTATACGGAATCTGTATCGTTTTTATAATTACAGGTAATTAGTATATTTTATATTATTTCTATTATTATACGATTCGATTCTTTACAACACGTTATTAAAGAAATATTATTATATTATATATTCGTAAAAATAATATCTTTGTTTTGCTATCCACTTAGAAGATTATTACGAAACAATTTTTGTTTCGAATTTTCAAGCTATATTTTTTAACTGTTTCAAAAAAAAAAAAAAAAAAATATATATATATATATATATACATATAGTTTTAGATAAATGAGAATACATAGAATGACTAAAAGAGATTAATACGTAGCTTAATTAAACGAGTAAGTGAGATAAAATGTAATTCTAAGAGCTTGTCATATTTACCGACTCGAAGATGTTGACGTTAGGACGGTTGCATCTGAACTGAAATAATTGTTTTAAGAAGTCACAATAATATCAAAAAGTTCAAGACTTAGCGTAAACAAGTTGCTTTCATTCTTCGAGACTGAAGTTTCTATGTAATATCCCCCGTAAACTTTTAGATAAAATATTGTATCTATTATCAAGAAACTTATCGTTTCATCACTAGCTATTATAAATAATATATATATATATATA